ATAAAGATTACAGCCGCAAACTCTATGGGGAGGTCCTGCTCTGCCCTATGGGATCGCTACGGTTTGGCATCGACTAGGCGACACTGGGGTTTGCTTTGGGTTTGGGGTTAGGCGGGAATCAGTCGCCCGATAAAGTATATTTCACTCATTGAGCAGAAAGCTGCTGTTCCCATGAGTAGCCTGGTGTGCAATTCACGAGGTACCTGTGTACTGGGTTCCAGTCAGGGGCTGGCTCTCCATATCATCGTGCAAGGCAACCACACTGACGGTGTACTCAGAACCCGGCCTGAGGCCTTGCAGCTCTGCAGTGTCGTCTTCACCGTCAGGTGCAGGGGATAGCTCATGGATTCCATCCTCAGGGCTCGAGTAGGTCACCCTGTACTTAGAAACGTGCCCCTGTGGGCTTTCCCAAGCAATTTTGATGGAATCGACATCCACATCAGTGAATGCCAGTCCTTTAGGGCGATCAATGCCTGTTAGGCAAATTAATGGTAAGAGGTTATGTGAAAAGCAAGTAGTGAAATAAGCATTTTTATCACATGCAAAGCAGTTTCGCAGGTATTATTTTCTTTGGTGGATCAAATCCCAATTACCCCACTATCAAAGGCAAAATTACTCGGTACTTTCTTAAAATTATCTGCTTTAGAACACATTTCATGTTGCATCACTTATTAGAACGTAGACGTGCACGAGACGCCCACTCTGAAAATATCCACACAATGGTGGGTCATTTAAAGTGATTGCCAGATCTCTACTGATAGTGATTTTTGCTTTGTGTTGTTAGTCTCTTAGACCGGGGTTTTCCATAGCCTGGAAGTGGTAAAGTTTATTTTCCTCTTTTAAAAATTATTTTAATTTTTTGGAGCAGAAAATCACTCATTGCAGAAATACACCAAGTCAACCCTTTCTACTTGCACAAGTCAGTGACACTGAGAGTTCTTCGAGGTGTGCAATCACCCTAACTCTCTGCTGAACTGTTCCTTCCCCACTAAGCACTTTCCTTTACCTGCTGTGATCAATCGGATTCCATGTAAACATTGCTTTACAACAGCAGTTCTCAACCTTCCTCATCCCGCGACCCTTTCATACAGTTCCTCATGTGGTGGTGACCCCCCAACCACAAAATCATTTTTGTTGCTACTTCATCACTGTCATTTCGCTACTGTTATGAATGGGGCGACTCCTGTGAAAGGGTCGTTCAACCCCCAAAGAGGTCGCGACCCACGGGTTGAGACCCGCTGCTTTAAAAGAACATAATGTTCAAGGTAGATCTTTTTAATTAATTAAGCCAAACTACCACAATGGCCAAATGTGCTATACTGACCACTCTAAAGAGAAAAGGACTGAGGTGAGCCTAACCCAAAGCGAGGCTGCTCTCCATTGCCTCGTCTGCAGGTGCAAGACTGGAAGCCAAGGAGCCTGGGGGAAAGTCTGCATTACACAGTATTTGAGTTACGGTGTTTGCAAAGAAGAGTGACAGTAACTTGGTCTGTCAGAAGAACAAACAATGTTTGTCTTCAGAGATGTACAGCCAGAATGCTCCTTAGAATTGAGGGAGAGACTTGATCTCACATCCTTTGGACATTTAGAAGGAGAGATCAGTCCCTGAAGAAGAGCATACTGCTTGGTGAAATAAAATCGTCAACAAGAGAAAGACCCTTGACAAGAGGAATTGACCCAGTGGCTGCAAGGATGCCTTCAAACACAATCCCTACGAGGATGGCATGGGACAGGGGGTGTTTCATTCTGCTGTGCAAGAGTCACTACGAGCTAGATCCGACCCGGCAGCCCCTAAGAACAATTGTGTGATTTAAAGAAGATTTGAGACATTTTAATTTTATGGTTTAAAGATTATCTCAGGGCAAAAAAAAAAAAAAGATTATCTCAGGGCAATCGTTTGGGGGAGCTGGCTACCCTCGATGTCTCTAGAAAGTCTAGATTTCTGCAAGAGTGAAATTTCACTTTCCCCTTTCGATCAAGATTCTTCTACAGAATCAAGAAAGTTGGTTTTACCAGTGTTAGATTCTGATTGTTCCAATCTTTCTGAAGCTCTTTTCCACTCAGTTTCTTCTATCGAGGTGTTGGCCTTAAGCACTGGTCCAAATGTCGTCGTCATCATCAGAATATTCCAGATAGAACTACAACTACTTGAGGAGCATTTCAATCAACTTTACCATCCAGTTATAGAAAAAAGGTCATAGCAAAATATTCCATATATTTGCTGTCGGCAAATAGGGTTTTGCTGAGGCCATTGGAGCAAAAGAAAATTGAAGCATAGCAATTAAGTCTAGTTGTTCCATAGCTTCTTTCCCTTTAAGTGGATTGGCTGGAAGAAAAATGCTTGTGCAAGGCTCCACTAAGGATATGGATTTGTACAAGTTGGTGGGCTTTACTTAGGCACAACAGCAAAGACAAGCAAACAACATCCAGATACTTAGGTACAAAAGTGGAGGTAGAAAGTGGAAAAGGAGCATTGGTTACGTACTGGTGACTACAGTCTCAACCAAAGGCTGACTCTCTCCTTTTTTATTCTGAGCGTAGACACTAACCACATACTCCACTGTGGGCTGCAGGCCCTCGATGGTCATTTCTGTTTGATCTGCAAAGGGAGCGAAAAATCAAACTTAATATCCATGTCATCCACAATAACGTTGAAAAAGTCATTCAAGTGATTGTCGAAATCTGATAGCAAATGAGTGGCACCCTGCAATGATCAGAAGTCTTTGGAGAATTATTTCCTCTTGGACAAACATGTTCCTTTTCCAAAGAGATGGTAACACTGGAATAGAATTGCACCAAAAGCGAAACTCTAAAATTTGCTAGGATGCCACCTTCAACAATTGGGTCCTACCCTTGAAAAAGTGAAAATTAGCCTAACTTCAGAGACAGTGCCTTGAGACTTCAGTTTCTTAAGAACTATATAAAAACAGCAGAGCTAACGGCATCGGAAAATGTCACACCGCACTCTTCAAGGTACACGTGTGTCACAAAAACCTCAAGGATGAATCTAATGAGTGAGGGCATTCAGACCCCCCCAAAAGAGAGAGAGAACTGTCCATCTGACAGCAGACATGTACGTATCCTAAAATGTCTCCTGTGAAACAGGTTGGTAATGATCTTGAACCCTGAATTCAAAATTGGGGAAATGTTGCCTTATTGATACGAAATGTTCAGGGCTCATGACAGGTGATCGATTATTCTCAAAAGATGATTGTGACCTCCTACTTTGTTGATCCTGATGGATGGGAGATGTTGCCTGGGCTTACCTGGGCCTGCAGTTTGGGTTTTCGATGGTCCATGGCCATTTTTGGGAGCGGTGGTCACTCTGTAACCGGTTACAGGGGAACTTGAAGGCAGCCATCTGACACTAATGCTGTCGTCCTTAACGTTAGTCACTTGCATCTGGGAGGGCTTGCCTATTTCTACGTAGAAAAGTCAAAAGAAACCAGTGAATCCCCAGTGGTGTGACAGGGCCTTTCCTCTTTCACAGAGCCATCTCTGAATGATCAGCTCCTACCAGTCCCCTCTCCCGGGAGCTTCTTTTTGAAGGAACACAAAGGTGGCTTTGGAAGGTCTGGAGGTACAAGGCTAGATACCCTTTGTATTCCTTCACAAGGCAGCTGCTGTTAATCACTAGGAGTTACAGCCCAAGTAGATGGGGACATTCTTGATCTTCCAAGCTCATTCATTCATTCCGCCACTCTTTATTGAGCACGCGCCCTCTCCATGCCCCATTGCAGTGGCAGACACATGGACTAAAACATCAGTCCACAAAACAGACACAAATGCCTGCCTTGGTAGTGCCTCCTCTTTATACCTGGCTGGAACCCAGTTTGTAGTGCAGGTTGCATTGTTTCATGGAAAAGCAAAACATCAAACCAATTCCACGTGAGGAAAGCACCTTGGGAGAACATGACAACACTACCTGAAGAAATGAGCCCGAGTCATCCCAAAGGAGGAGTTTGTACCTGCTCGGTAATCAATGGAAACAGGCTTGCTGCTCCCTGGGCTGTCCCCACGGCCAGTGACAGCGTATAAGGTGATGGTGTAATCTACTCCAGGTTTAAGGCCGGTGATGGTGGCTGTAGACTTGCTCCCAGGCACTGTGAATTCCTGAACGGGGCTAGTTCCTCCTATAGGAAAAGGGGGTCGGTAAAGTGTGAGCGGTATTGCTGACTAAGTGAATGAACGGATCAAGAAGAGCTTGAGAGTCAAGCCTGGTTGCGTACTCCCTTTGGAAAGAGTGCTATTAACAGAACCCGAACAGAAAGGTGTATTTATGCACGCGGCAAACCTTGGGAAGTGTGTGCAAAACGGCGAGGAAGTTGGAGTTAATGTCACGTCAACATTTTAGCATTAAAATGTCAACGAGTTTTACATTAATATGTAAAAAGGGAGGTTAGCCTTCAAGCCTCGGATTGCATATTTTGTATCTTAAGTGTTTTTTGATTGCTTGCTTTTAATTCTTTTATTCTTATGAAGTACAAACAAGTGGAAAAAAACCAATCACTGCACCCCTGATGATACGAGTATATTGAACTTCCTTGAAATGCTTTCTTCTGCGGTTCCACCTCTCCAAAAACCCCTCACACGCAATACCATCAAGTCGATGCTGACTCAGCACAACCCTGGGGGATGGAGTCAAGCTGCCCCTGGTGGGTCAGAGGCTGATGGGAGCGGAAAGCCTCGTCTTTCTCCTGCAGCGCAGCTGATGGCTTCAGAGCCATCCAAGGATAAGGTGACCAGACATCCCGCTTTTTAACAATTTGTCCCACGGCCCTTTAAAAAAGTCCCGATTTTTGGAAAGAATGCACGACAAGCTAGGG